AGGTTGGTGTCAACACGAAGGCAAGCACGAAGCCCGCACTAAGGTCAGTGTCAACCCGAAGTCGACTAGGAGATAGTCGAAGGCAAGCACGAAGCCCGCACCAAGGTCAACGTCGACACGAAGTCAACTACTAGGAGGGACTCGAAGTCCCAAACTTGCGTCGAATACACAGACGAAAAAGTGGTCGAATACGTCGATCAACCTTTGGAGCAAATGAGGGCTAGCAAATGTGAAGGAAGGAACTCTACCTGTTTGTGTACACTCTGCTCTGTGAAACTGAAATATTAGCGGTATGCGGAAAATAAACGTTGATATCTAAGATAACCTGTTCAACCATGACAAAATCCCATGTGATTGCAACAGCAATGGGTAACACAAGGTGGTATACAAATTATTGACTATTGGGGGTATATGTGAATTAAATTCGTAAGATGACAATGATTGCGATGGGAAAAGAGCACACAGCATCTAGATCTAGGCGACCGAATACAGTAAGTGAGGAACGACAGGTGGACGACCAGTATTGTCGAAATAAGACTGAACGTAAAAGAGACAACATTCCTTCATCCCCTTCCATATGTTGTGCTCACGTCCGGTAGCATCAAAAGGTTGTTTGAGGGACTCGGGAAAGTGCTCCCACGCTGACAACACCTTGCGGAAACTTTCGAAATATGGTAAAGCGGCGTCGAAAGATGGCGCATTGAGTCCGTCGTTCTCTTGAGGTAAGTCCCTGTTCCAAACTTTCAACGACTTCGACGGGAAGATGCTACGAAGAAGCTCCATCCTTTCCTTCCTCGCCTCCTTGTCCTTACGTGCATCGCGCCCAAGATGCTCATCCAGGTCCAGAAGCTCATATCGAAAACTTTGCTCACAGATTTCATATACGATTTGGCGTGCGAGATCTGCGGGGGGATTGTCGAGCGTGGAAATGGCTATATCCTTTCCACGCCAGTGAACATTTGTGGGTCCTGCCCACAAGGCCCGCAGTACCGGAACTTCCTTTTGGAAAAGTAAAGCAGTCGCTGCTTTCGACTTGCTGGTCTTGCCGGACGTCCGCGTGTTCGAAGGTTCCTGAGCGTGCTGAGATATCAAGAAATCGCGCCAGTTCTGGGCGCGAGGAAGAGGTCGAGGCCTTTCGTCATAGACACGTTCTATCCAGGTAGGGCGGCATGCCAGCCAGTTGGCAAGGTACTTCACCAAGGATTGCGGGGAAAGAACGTTAACGAATAAACCTGGATCGGGAAGCGAGTACCCATCATCCATTTTGTCTCTGGGATGCTTGATGCGAATAATATCTTTGTTTGCGTCCTCCAACGCTATCTTGAAGAAAGAGTTCATTGGCGGCATATAAGGGTGATCTATATCAGACCACTTGTCACGGCCAGATACAGCTTTATTCTGACGCGGAGCGGTTGCATTGTCTGAGGAATTAATTAGTCACAACAACCATGAAAGAAGAATGCTGAACTTACACGGCGCAGGCTTGGCACTCATTTTGGCCTTCCCTTTGTCTACGCGCGCCCTTCCTACCAATGACTCCCTCGTTACCATCTGTTCCACTTGGGGTTTTGGAACCGGTAGCTTCTCAAAGTTGGAATACGGCTGACGAGCGGCCTCATGACGCTTGCGATTATTGGGACCTCTGTTGATGATGTCGAATGGTTGGGCGAAGAGTTTGACGGGATCATGATACATGCCGATGACGAGGTCATCGGGTGGTGTGAAGGAAACGACTTTGACGATGTTCATGTTGGCATTGACAAGTCTGGCATCGCGAATAAGCCAGACAGGAACTCCAGCAGCGTGCACCTTCGTAGCGATAGCGACATCTTCTGTGAAACAACCCATCCATTTGGGGTTAACCTTGTGCGTAGTGTCGACGAATCGCATGCGAGGCTCGATAATTTCGTAATAGTCTATAACCGCCCAGATATCGAGAAACCGGCGCTGATATTCAGCAACGATTATGACGATGTCGCGCCAGGCCATGGCTTGCTGGAAGCGCTCGTAGACAGCGCGCATTGCATGCGCCCACCCAACTACATGATCCTCCTTGTGGGACCTTGCAACCTTGTAATTGCTAACCCGCGTATTGGCCTTCTCGTACAAGCGCTTGAGATGGCCGACAATGTCGGTCTTGAGTTGACCAAAAAGATTGCCGGGAGAAATGGGCGTGAAGTCACTTGCGAAAGTTGGTCTGAACCATGCGTACATCATGCTTGAGTCGTCCGCATAGGCTTCCTGGCGTGGGATTGCAAAACTTCGAGCGTATAAGTCGTCATACATCTGCGGCCACTGGAAGGGATCCAGGGCCCAATATCTACCATCTGCGCGCGCTTGAATGATGTCGGATTCGTTGTCGAAGGGTTGGGGAATGAATTTCATGTTGGGAGTTGTGATTACTCGGTGGCCATATGTAGCCACACAGAAAGCATCAGTGGCAGTCAGGTAACCTGGATATCGTCAATCAAGAGTAGTAGAGGTACGAAGATGCCAAAACGTACGGTCACCATCGCGCATGAATGGCTTGAAGACAGGAATCGACATGGTTGTAGCTCCAGGAACCGTGATATCGAGAACGGGGAAAGATACAGCGACTCGCAGTCACTGAGGAAGGAAATTTAAACGAAACAGCGACTCGAAGTCACTGCCGATTAAAATGCTACCACGAAGGCAGATAGCGAGAGAGTGTCTTGAAAGATTCAGGAGAAATCTGACGAAGGCGTGGTGTCAGTGATGATAGCATGAATCAGTGTAATGAACGAACTTACTGTAAAGGGCGACAGGAGTCTTGAGCGAGTCTGGTTAAAGACCTAATGTAGTCATAATAGCGTGACGAATAACGAATGTACTTACCTATGAAGTCTAAGACCCACGAAGGCAGTAAGAGTCTTGAAAGATGGGAGAGATCTGGTGAGGGCGTGATGTTAGTAATAATAGCATAAATCAAGGCGGTCGTAGCACGATACTGAGCTGGTGGATGACAAGACTGCCGACCGAAGTCTAAGCAATCGATAGTAGCAAACAACACGAAGTTGCTGCTCAAAGGACGCCCACCACGAAGGTAGACTGTAGAGGCTGGGGAATAGGCTGGGGAATGTGAGCCGCCGCGATGAGGAGTGGCGTTGAGGATGAGGAAAAGCGTTCAAAATGGACTTCACACTTTGATTCAGTGTGGGAAAGCCCTTACCTAGAGTGGGAAAGCCCAGACCAAAGCCTGGGAAAGCCCTTCTGATTTCGACCAATTTAGTAATCTCATCAATGTTTGGCCCCGTTTCCACTCATCGTCTGCCCTCTGCCCTCATCGTTTGCCCCCATCTTCAACCTCTGGCCTCATCGCATGGTCTGCCTTCGAGGCAGACAAGTTCTGCCTGTATGACTTCGTGTCATCCAGCGCTATCTGGCCGTCTGACTACGAGTCAGATTACGGTCTACCTACCTCAACACCTCGCCCACATCCATCCTCTACAAATGTATGTGTCCATTTAACTCTATTCTAATTGATTACACGCAGGATTTTTCAACGACATCCTCATCTCCCACCCTTGTCTCCACCGCATCGACTGGCCTGATCGCATGGTTCTGCCTTCGAGGCAGACACGCTTTGGCTGGGTGACTTCGCGTCATCCAGCACTGTCTGGCTGTCTGACTACGAGTCGGATGCCTCAACACTGCGCCACTATCTATTCGTTCTCTGCGCAAGCGCATGTCCAGCAACTCAATTCTATTTCATCGTCTGCGGGAATTTTGAACGCTCAACATCTTTGTATTCCAACTACCGATCGGTACGTCCTCCCCCATCTTACAATTATACAATCGTTTCATTCTACTTACAACAGATAATCAAAGTTTGGGGTATGCAAAATATGGTAGGGACACTGGCGCGTATAATTGTAAGCATTCTTTTCTCGACACGCTGGAGGAGATTTTTGATGATGACCATGGCATCATCAGTACCGCCAGTAGCCTGGACTCTTACGCGGAGAAGCTCATATTCGCCCCATCACCCATTTGGACCCTCATTTTCGTAAGTTTCGAAGCTTTTTTAATGTGGGCCATCCCCAATAAGTTAGTATACGATCCTTTGCGGTGAATATTCCATTTTTCTAACAATGTTCTTTCAATGTACCTCTGTTCGTTTCGGTGTCGATTGGGCGGGATTACAACTTTGGAATATTATTTCTTGATGTGTATTGGGCGCCTTACCATTAGTTAAAACCCGCAATGTTCGTGTTTTTTAAACAAGAATCTTTCTTCTTTTGACTCGCAACCATTAGTTTTCTGTACTCTTCTATCGTCCTGTCAAGACTTCGAGTCTTGAAATCTAGCTGTAAGACTTCGTGTTTCACAAGCTGCCCTGCTTCAACATTCGTGTAAAGCACCCCTTTTCTCAGTATCAAGCCCGCCTACGTTTCAATGGCACCGTCTACCAGAAATGCAGCCCGTCGTGGTGCTACCGGTACTGGCACTCATGACCCCACAGTGTCTGGCACCTATGTCATGCGCACACGCAGTGGTGTTGCCATCAACCCCCCCGCCAAACAAAATAATAAGCGCCAAAGAAATGCTGTCCCCGAGTCATCTCCTGCTCCGGATGACCCTCACCGGCCAAAACCTCGTCCTTTACCCCGACGTTCCTCGGGTACGACCTTTGAGGACTATGCTCGAATCCTTGCTCGCCCTCGCAAACAACACTTAAAACCCACAGCGGACTCCGTCTCTTCTGGAATGGAGTTGCAAAGCGACCATCCCCCAGGTAATGACTTACGGCATTCACAACAATAACTATACTAACCCCTTTCATAGATACACCTGACATCGACGATGACGTACCCGTTACGGACACTCGCATGGATGATGATATGAACGGCGGTAGCGACAATGATGCCGATGATGATATGACCAATGAAGACCGTGAACACAGCCAGGCTAACGAAGATGAGGATGAGGATAATGATGGCTCCGTACGTGGAAAGACTTCAGGTATATTATTTTTCATTTAGTATATCGTTGGGAAGGCTGACGGTTGTCACCGTGAAGACAACGTAGAAGGTGATAGCGACAACGACGCCAAGGATGGCGATGAAGAGCCTGAGGGTGGCGATGAAGAGCTTGAGGGTGGCGATGAAGAGCCTGAGGGTGGCGAAAATAACAAGGACTTCGAGACTTCACAAGGTATGTACTATCTTACTTTTCTCTTAGTGGGGAGGGCTGATGGTCATCTGTTGTACGCAGCCAGGAGACTTCGGCCTCGAAGGGTCAAGAAGGGCAGCTACAATTTACATTTCGATGATGGTTCTCAAAGCTCTTCATCGGATACCAGCTACCGTGAAGGCCCCGCAACATCTGATCAAGATTCCGCCCATGAGTCAGATGCAAACAAAGACCTCGACCCAACCACAACAGCCCGTCTTCACCGCCTGCTAAGCGCAGGAAAAGGTCTTCAGCGATCGAAACTACCTTGGCCAACACTTCCCAAAAAACATCTCACTCGACAACCGTTCGCAAGAAGCATGCAGCTATTTCACATGGTGGCAACCCCACTCCAGCCAGTATAGTCTTTGGCCCGACGCCGACACGCCGGACATTGACAACAGTGAGAATGAAGACGAACCCTCAGGTCATTTAAAGCGTGGACGGCTATGTCAGGAGGGCATCGATGAGGCTCAGGAACTTGGACAGAAAACAGCAGAAGAAGCTCGGGTGATTGGCGCCAAGTATGGCAAGTCCGCGCGCGCTATTCTCATTGAGGCTGGTCTGTCCATCAAGCATTCACGATCAGAGTCTGATTGGAATGCCCACCAACGCTGGTTCATGGATAATAACCCCCGCAAGGACAAAGAATGTCAGTCCCCCATTCTGTGGTGTATATGATGCTAACTCGAGAGTCTCAGCTATCATCGACTGGAAAGAACGTCAACGCAAACATTATCATGCGATGGGCAAGGATGACGAAGAGTGGGACATCATTCGCAACTATAACGTTACTGGCGGCAATACCAATCAATCACGCGCCAAGACCATTTTGTCAATGAGGGAGGATATTGCAAGAAAGGTACATCTACTTCATTAGCGCATTCTAAATTACGACTAATGACTCAATACAGTTGTCTGCTTATTCTCGCCTTGAAGGAGTCGAGGCCATCGGCTGTATATTTGATACAACACAAGACGAGGCTGCTCGACAGGCATCCGGCTTTGTCGCGGGCTCCGACCTCATAGTCAAGTTGATCAATGAGCATCAACTGGATGCTCGCGCAATATTAGATTGGGTCGTGACTGCAACGAAGTACGTCTTATTATTCTGGACTTTTCCTACCTCCTGATATATTCACAGAGCGAAAGGCTACAATATATCCGTGCCGCAGTTCATGGGGGGAGTAGGGGCTTACGAGATTCTACTTTCAAAGCCAAACGAGGCTCCCCGCGACCGTTACAGGAGGATATGGCCAATTATGGTACTCGAGCACACTTGTGAGTACTCAAGTTTGTCCAAATTCAACGATTCATTGGATTCTGCTCAAATAGCGAAGTTTGGGTATCAACCCAAAGCAGTCCAGTGGCGGAAGCTTCTTGACTATGCTTTCCAGTACAAGTTCATGATTAAGAACTGGCCTGAAGACGTCCTTCCTATCGGTCCGAATTCAATCCTCACAACCTAAGTTCTCAGCACCTCAAGCTACTTGTCGTTCCTTTCATCAAGCGCAAAGCGCATTCTTATTTGAGGCAGAGCTCCGCACTGAAGCTGAGAGCTTGTTAGAGCTAGAGAAAAGAAGTCGAAGGGCAAGCGCCGAGGTCAGGGGCGCACTGTGGAAGACGTCATGAGTGAATTAGATGTCGATGTACCCGAGATCGAGTTCGCAGCTTGGCCAGATGGTATGTCATTTCCACGTTATCATTATACCTTTGTTTTCTGATGTCGATTGTGCAAGAATGTATCAAGCAGCTCAATGACGAGGTGCCGGAGATGTTCGACATTCCCTTGGTGACCAGTGCCTTGGATGTTGTGCTACGCAAGCTAGTAGACTCCGCCAAATTTAAGGCGTCTGTCCCTGAAGATATATTGGCAGCTCATGAAGCACATCCGGATGGTCAGACTCCCTCTACTCACGACACGCTGCCAAGTGATCATGAATCTCCTGTCCACTCCGAGCCCCCCGACCTTGCCATCAAACCAACGTCACCCTACCAATTTCACAGCAGTACATCGCCGCGAGGACACTCATCTTCCTCAAGTTCCCAAATGTGTTTGATCGGGAATCTCGCCCTTGTTCTGCCTACAAGCAGAGATGAACCTGTCGGGTGGTGGAAGACGACAGGCTAGCCTGCCGTTCAAGGCGAAGAAACCTTTACGGGTAAGTGCTACGATATTCCGTCAAGACTCAATGTTGATCTTCTTCAGGTGACCCTACATTCATGCGCCGCATGGAGGAGCGTCCGCTGACTCTCGTAATGATGCAGACTTGGAGTATGTCCTTACCTTTCCACGACTTCCAACATATATTAATTTAATTGCTTAGGCTTGCGCCCTACCCAGGCCCTCGTCGTGAGGACAGAGATTTCGTTGCCCCAAACCGCCGCCGTGAATATTCTCGTTCACCTCCTGTATACCCTCAGCGAGATCCATCTCGCTCAAGGTACTATCGGCCCACCTACAGGCAACGCGAGACTTCTCCTGTCGCGCTTAGCGATGATGGTTCTTATCCTGGACGTCCTGCTCACTCACGCCGGCAAAATCATGCTGATGATTTCAATCAGAGGTTCCAAGTAAGGAGAGCTGGTGACTCTCATTATGAAGACGGGCCTTCGCGGTTTTCGCTACTAACATGGGCAAGAATTGTGCTGTCCACTCATTCATATTGACTTTGCTTTGCCTTTGGTTGTTCATATTAGCGCCTCACGTTTTTGTACTTCGGGTACCTCTAGCTGTTGTACTTCGTGTACCTCTCACTGTTGTACTTCGGGTACCTCATCACTTCAGTTGTCTCTTGCGCGGATGAAGCTTTCACATGTAATGTTAGTACTCCCATGTGTCGGAACAAGACAGGTCATGTCTGTCTCCCTTTTGTTGACGATCTTGTAATGCAATCATATGTGTACCAACGGCCCAAAACGTGTGAAATTAAGTTTGCGCACTATATCTGTGAGAAGGTTTGGTGACAACGACGAATGGCAACATAATTTATCATCACATGCAAGAGGATTGAATCGACCTCCACGGATTTTTCTGCTGAAGAAAAAAAACAAATATTTAAAATGCACGTTGGGCAGGTTCGAACTCACATAAACATGCTATGCAGGCATACACACACTCTAACCGTTACACCACAAGTCCTTATATCTTTAGGGTGTCAAATTGTATATGGCTGCTGAATGCTGCTCATCTCATCAAAACTTTGCAAAGTCTTTTGCCCGTCATCCTATTCAGTCTACCACACTAGCAATTATGTAGCATAACATGTACTTTGCACACACATATTGCTTTTGTAGATTTCAATTTCTATATTCAGATGGATTTGTGTTCATTGTGCTCAGGGTAAATGGAAATATGTGCACTTTGGGTTGAATACAAATACTGAAATGCATGTGATTTTGAACATACTCCGAAGTCTACAAGAGCTGATCAAGGCCGCATATAATAGCATAATTAGGGTGAGTGGGAACACCTGGATAGTAGTTGAGAGGTAGATGGAAGAGTCCAAATAGTGTCATTATGGTCAGCGGGGAGAGCCCAACTGGTATAATTAGGGGTCGGTGGGAAGCCCAGATAGTAGTAGAGGGGTAGGCAGGAGAGCCCAAATGATGTGTATACAGTCGGTGGGAGAGCCCAAATGGTGTTGGTAGGGTTGGCGGGAAGGCCCGGTTGCTGATTGAACGGTAGATGGGAGAGCCCAGAGTATGCGTATATGGTCGGTGGGAGAGCCCAAATGGTGTTGGTAGGGTAGGCGGGAAGGCCCGGTTGCTGATTGAACGGTAGGCGGGAGAGCCCAGAAGATGCGTATATGGTCGGCGGGAGAGCCCAAATGGTGTTGGTAGGGTTGGCGGGAAGGCCCGGTTGCTGATTGAACAGTAGGTGGGAGAGCCCAGAGGATGCGTATATGGTCGGCGGGAGAGCCAAATGGTGTTGGTAGGGTAGGCGGGAAGGCCCAGTTGCTGATCGAACGGTAGGCGGGAGAAGCCCAGAAGATGCGTATATGGTCGGCGGGAGAGCCCAAATGATGTTGGTAGGGTTGGCGGGAAGGCCCGGTGTTGCTGATTGAATGGTAGGCGGGAGAGCCCAGAGGATGCGTATATGGTCGGCGGGAGAGCCCAAATGGTGTTGGTAGGGTTGGCGGGAAGGCCCGGTTGCTGATTGAATGGTAGGCGGGAGAGCCCAGAGGATGCGTATATGGTCGGTGGGAGAGCCCAGTTTGCTAATTGAATGGCAGGCGGGAGAGCCCCGATGATGTGTATGGGGTGGGCGGGAAGGCCCAGATAGTACTAGAGAGGTAGGCGGGAGAGCTCCGAACAGTGCCATTAGCTAGTCAGATTTATCTATCCCCCCCCCCCCTCTAGATAGCATCCCAAATTGAGATTGGCGCCTACATTCCTCTCTTCACCTCTCATACCTCCATTAGAAAGATTTGCTTCATTGGCGATGACAAACAATTGCCACACTATGGTCAGGATGATATCCACGACCTGAAGAGCATCTTCGAGGTCAAGCATCTCAAGGACCATGCCCTCTTCCTGAACACACAATACAGGATGCCTCCTCAAATTGGAAACTTCATCTCTCAAGCTGTATATGATGGCCTACTCGAGTCGAATATGCAACACCCCGTCACGAATGAGAGGATGGCTTATCATTTTATCAACATTCCCAGCCAGGAACAGTAACATAGAAATAGCCGGAAGAACCTTGGACAGTGCCAAACCATTTTCCATATTGCTACCATATTGCAAGCAAAGAATAAGCGATTCCGCATTATCACCCCTTACGACACTCAGCAGACATGAGATAAGTAAAGCTCCCACATTTTATTGCATATTATCTTTGCCCACCCCCCCTTCCTTGCACACCCCCCCCCCCGTCGTCTTATGACAGACTCGCAAGTAAAGCTCCCACATTTTATTGCATATTATCTAATGCCACCCCCCCTTTGTTGCACACCCCCCTGCTGTCTTATGACAGACTCGCAAGTAAAGCTCCCACATTTTATTGCATATTATCTTTGCCACCCCCCTTCCTTGCACACCCCCCCGCTTTGTCTTCTAACAGACTCGCAAGTAAAGCTCCCACATTTTATTGCATATTATCTTTGCCACCCCCCCTTCCGTGCACCCCCCCTGTCATCTTATGACAGACTCGCAAGTAAAGCTCCCACATTTTATTGCATATTATCTTTGCCACCCCCCTTCCTTGCACACCCCCCCCCCCCGCTTTGTCTTCTAACAGACTCGCAAGTAAAGCTCCCACATGTTATTGCATATCTGAGTCTGTGCCACCCCCCCCGCTTGTCTTCTAACAGACTCGCAAGTAAAGCTCCCACTATTGCATATTATCTTTGCCACCCCCCCTTCCTTGCACACCCCCCCCGTCATCTTATGACAAACTCACAAGTAAAGCTCCCACATTTTATTGCATATTATCTTTGCCACCCCCCTTCCTTGCACACCCCCCCCCGCTTTGTCTTCTAACAGACTCGCAAGTAAAGCTCCCACATGTTATTGCATATCTGAGTCTGTGCCACCCCCCCGCCTTGTCTTCTAACAAACTCGCAAGTAAAGCTCCCACATTTTATTGCATATCTGAGTCTGTGCCACCCCCCCGCTTTGTCTTCTAACAGACTCGTAAGTAAAGCTCCCACATTTTATTGCATATTATCTTTGCCACCCCCCCTTCCTTGCACACCCCCCCCCCCCCCCGCTTTGTCTTCTAACAGACTCGCAAGTAAAGCTCCCACATGTTATTAAATATCTGAGTCTGTGCCACCCCCCCGCTTTGTCTTCTAACAGACTCGCAAGTAAAGCTCCCACATGTTATTGCATATCTGAGTCTGTGCCACCCCCCCGCCTTGTCTTCTAACAAACTCGCAAGTAAAGCTCCCACATTTTATTGCATATCTGAGTCTGTGCCACCCCCCGCTTTGTCTTCTAACAGACTCGCAAGTAAAGCTCCCACATTTTATTGCATATTATCTTTGCCACCCCCCCTTCCGTGCACCCCCCCTGTCATCTTATGACAGACTCGCAAGTAAAGCTCTCACATTTTATTGCATATCCAAGTCTGTGCCACCCCCCTCTTTGTCTTCTAACAGACTCGCAAGTAAAGCTCCCACATTTTATTGCATGTTGCTCGCAAGACAACCTCATTACTCAATGACTAGTGCTGCACTCAGTTAGACTTCTCTTACGTTTAGGACGCTGTTTCAAGCCAAAAATCCTGCAGGTTTTTGTCCCATATCAAATCTTGTCTCAAGTGCATATACTGGCCTTGCATACCTAGTACTACTCCTTCTATGGATGTACAAATCGTGAATTTTTATGCCGTCAAAATGTCTGAAAAAGGACCCCTATCACCCCTATTTATGATGGGAAAGCCCTCCTGATAAATGCCCTGGGACATCCCAGAGACATGCTAGAGTGATCCCAGTTGGGATTGGGAAAGATCAAAAATAGGTCCTTGGGATGGCCCAGATACTTGCTTCAGTATGGACCGGGACATCCCAGTACATGGGGTAAAATACTGGGAATACCATCCTAGAACACACCCACTAGGTCCTTTGCTAGCCACAAACACATAGACCTAAGAGGTCATTTCAAGTGGTTGACTGAAGTGCAAATACCTTGATGTTAATGCAATGTCCGAGGATTAAAGGTTGTTGTGTCTCTATTGCTGATCCGACTTGATCATAGTTGCATCTAATTCAAGCACTAGCGTCTTCGTGTGCTGTTGATACCCATGTTCATGTATAATACATTGTGATAAGCCATTTTAATGCAATATAATGTTGATTTTCGTGTAATTTGACATCGACCGATCATCGAGTGAATTGGACGATATTCAGAATAATCCATCGAGCGACAAGTGAATTTGATGGAATTCAGAGAAACTACTCGGAATTCAAAGGAATTCATAAAACGAGCTACCGGACTTAAATAATTCTGCAAAACCTGAATTCACTTGAATTCACTTGAAATCTTCCGAAAACAGAGGAATTACAAGGAATTACCTCGATTTCGGGGGGGAGGTTTTCCCTGATGATCGGGGATTTTTATTTTAGGGGTAAACAAGAGTCGGGGTTTTTGGAGGGTGATCAGGCCTCCTCGACGACGACTATA